GAGAACCTCAGAAAACAAATATATATATAAATGTATATAATTTTTTTATCTTTCTAAATGCAAAAATGTATTGACATTTTTGTATGTATGTACATCAAAGAAGACCACCCCGTTCAAAGTTTTTAATGTTTATAAGTCAATAAAATAAAATAAAAAAAAATCCCTACCGGTTTGGAGAGCTTGCTTCGTGCACACGTGCACAGGGCTCAAACACTGCTCTCTATATCAATGCTGGTGAGCTGTGCTGCTTTTTGGCTCAGCTGAGGTGCAGCAATTCACACTCCACACAAGTCAGCTGAGCTAATAAACAACAGAATATAGGAGAGGTAAGAGTGGGGGCGGGCGGGGGGCGGGCGGGCCCAGCCAGAGGTGGTTTTTGGCAGTTCTCTGAACCAATCAAATTTTTCTCTACTAGTACGCCAGAACTGGTCCGAACTGGCTGAATACCACCTCTGCTCCTAGTCCCATGATGGTGAACCTATGGCACGTGTGCCACAGGTGGCACGTAGAGCCATTTATGCAGACAAATTTACCTCACTGCGCATGCGCGTGCCTCCCAGCTGATTTCCGGAAATACCAGAAGTGATGAAAGGAGCCCATTTTTCAGCCTCCAAAGGCTGCAGAGGCTTCCCTCGAGCCTCTGGGAGGCCGAAAAAGGCCCGAAAATCAGCTAGGAGGTGCACGCTTGTGAAATGCAGGTAAGGGGGGCAGCAGGGGGATTGTGCACACATGTGCAGGGGGTGTGGGGCCCCCACGCACATTGCCTTCTGGGTGCTGGCACACAAGCGAACGCACACAAGCGCATGTGCCATTTTCGGCACAGGAGCCCAAAAAGGTTAGCCACCATTGCCCCAGCCTTTGCTTTTTAAGGAGCAGTAAAGCTGCAAATGAACTCAAGAATTATTTGTCCACTCTACTTAAGATGGGCAGTTATTATTCTTTAATTACGGCTGCATAAATTTGCAAGAAATTAAATCAGCAGACGATCCAAAGCAGGGGTATAGCTCAACTGGCCCATCTTGGCATTTTCTCCTGTATTGATTGTGCCGAAGATTGAAGACCGTTTCTATCACCCCTGTGTTTTATTACCATAAAATGGGCTGGATTATTTGGGGGAAACCTTTTAATTCATTGAGAAGGTCGTCAGTGAAATATAACTCATTTCTAAGCCCGCAGCTCTCCGATTCATGCGGCAATGAATTCAACTTTATTAAAATAATGCTTCACTTTATATTACTTATAGCCTGGGAAGGTTAATCTATCACACCCTGCTGAGTATCTCTCCGTTTTTTATTGCCAACTTGCTTTGAACTTCTCAGGGAAGTAATATTTTTTTATTGATTGGAAAATAACTTGAAATAACTTGAAAATAATTAACGCCTTGATTGTCCTAGTTCTAGCATGTGGCTTATTCAAATGATCTTAATTAAAGAGAACTATGCTCATTCCATCTAGTTTATCGAAACAAAGGATATTTTTTTCCCCTAAATATCCAGGTATCTCTTGCATCACGAATCGTGCCCAGCCCTGACTGGTTTGTGGGCATTGAGAATTTTAATTTGTGTGACAAGAATGGCTGGAAGCGCCGTGTCTCCATAGACCTATTTCCATATGACGCTGGAACGGATAGTGGCTTTACATTTTCCTCACCCAACTTCGCCACAATCCCTCGCGATACAATCACGGAAGTAAGTTTCTTTACTTTGTCAGCTTTTGGGGTGATCCATTCCCTGTTGTCAGGTCAACTGTCACCTGGGGGCCTTCAAGAAAAGGTTGGGACAGCTGTCTGTCCAGGATGGAATAAGGTCTCCTGCTTTGGAATTGGAGACCTCCAAGGTGTTGTGGTTCGCCAACAGCCGGTGCAGATGGCGGTGGAGTCGGACAGTGAGGAAGGATGGGGACCAGTCCGGGAGTTTGGAGAGAACTCGGATGAGGGTCCTGCACGTGATGCAGAGATGGGGCCAAGACCATCCGGGAGTGGGGTGCTGACTCTGGAGCCTCTGGAGTCTGGCAGCAGCAAGGCAGAGGAACAAGGGAAGCCTGTTCCCAGTGTGCTCATGTGCAGAGCTGCTAGAATAGCAAGCCACACCCACAGAGCCAGTCGTAAAGAAATTTGAATCCCACCACTGACCAGTATCCCCAGTCCACTTCAGCCGATCATAGAAACACAGGGCTAGAAGGGACTTTGTGTTCTGACCCAGGCTTTATCAAACTTAATGAAACACAAACCTATTGTAAAAACAAAACCTATTTTAATACAATGCTGGAAATTACTTTCATTCTCAGCCAGAACTATTTATAAACAGTTCTCCCAGATAAGAGCACACCTTTCATTGTTGTAGAATGGTGCCAAAAACAGGAGCATCCAAATAATTATAACATGCCAATTAAAGTCCCAGAAAAAAACCCGTCCAGAGTTCACAGAGCTTCCAGAAGGACTCAGATACTATTGAACTACTTTGCTTCCTGCAAAGGTTTCATCATTGAGGTCTGACTTTTATCCCTCATGAGAGAGGCAATCACCTCCCAGCCTTACTCCAAAGTAGCCCCTTCTGCTTCAGTTGCTCTCGCGGCATGGCGCGGCTTGGTGGGCATGGCAGGGGAAGGATACTGAAAAATCCCCCTTCCCTCCCCACCCCACTAACCTGCTTTCCAGCTCCGTTCTCCTGGGCAGGGCCACAAAAGAAGACCCAGCCAATCAGCTGGGACTCGGGAGGCGGAGAATAGATGGGGGCGGGGCCAGTAAGAGGCGGTATTTGCAGGCTCTCCAAATTACTCAACATTTCTGCTACCGGTTCTCCAGAACTGGTCAGAACCTGCTGAATCCCACCTCTGATACTGGTTGAGTGTTAAAAGGAAGGAGTGAAAAGAAGAGAGAGTAGAAAACAAGAAGTGGAAACCTAACCAGGGTTCTTCCCACACTGCAATGATTTCTGGTTGACTTAACTCACCTCCTTTTTACACCTGCTTGATTTCACAGATCACCTGTTCTTCCCCAAGTCATCCTGCCAACTCCTTTTATTACCCCAAACTTAAGGCTCTGCCGCCAATTGCCCGGGTGACCATGGCAAAACTCAAAAGAAAAAAATTGGGCTTTCTCTTCTCTCAACCAAACGTCACAACTACAGATAACGAAGTACAGGATTCTGTCTCAGGTAACTGTTTTATTCCTGGATAGATAGGAAGTTTTAGAGTGGTACCATGGCCTAGAGGTGGAGCTTTCACCTCACAATCAGGAGGCAGTGAGTTCGATCCTTGGTAGAGGCTGATATTTCTCTCTCCGGCTACAGTGAGAATATTATCTGCTGAACAAGACTCTGCATTGGTGACAGGAAGGACATCCGGCCATTAAAACGCTCTGCTAACTCCATTCAGTTGCCCAGACTTCACCCCGCAAGGGATTATGGGGCCATTAAAATAAGATGATGATAAAGAGAAAGTTTTGTTTTAATTATTCAGCTGTGGAAGAAATGCCTACCCTGAAGGCCAAACGGAACATATTATCAACACCCTCAAAGCTCCTCCTTTGGGAATATAGGATGAAATTAGGAAAATGGGAATGAGGAACTTAAAGTTAAGGGGAGAAATACGTGAGAAATGGATAAAATCTTTCGATAGTTCCTTTGTTTTGCCAGTCCTTAGGTTGGCAGAAGTTGTGGGAGCTCCATCACTGGATTTTTTTAAGAAGAGACTGGGCAGCATTTGTCTAGAATGGTGTAGGGTCTCCTGGTTAAGCAGCGGGCTGGACTAGAAGACCTCCAAAGTCCCTTCCAACTCTGTTATTCTGTGTAAGACTCCTGTCTTGAATAAGGGGTTGGACTAGAAGACCTTCAAGATCCCTTCCAACTCTCTTATTGTTATTCTGTATAAGGCTCCTCCCTGAGCAGGGGTTGGTCTAGAAGACCTCCACCGTCTGTTCCAGCCCTGGATTGTCTTAAAGACATAGAACATAGGCTAATAGAGTTGGAAGGGACCTTGGAGGTCTTCTAGTCCAACCCCATGACCTATACCATTCCAGATAAATACCTCCCAATCTCTTCTTAAAACCCCCCAGTGATTTCCAGTTATCCAAACCATAAGTCCTTTATCAGCTATCAGTAAACACGGTGTACAAGATTTCAGAGTTTGGAGTTATAACCACCATAAAGTTTCCTTAACAGAATTTGCTTTCTCAAAGAATAAAAAAGGTGAACACCTCCTTCCCTTATTAGATTCCTTTCAGGAATGGAATCCATAATTGGATCTGATTTTGCCTGCTTGGCGCACGACTCCTTTTCACGCATCCCCTCATCTGATTATGCGCGCCTGGCCAAAGTTACTTATTTATTAAATGTCATCTATTTATTGAATTTACACGCTTCCCATCGCACTGCTGGATGGCTTACGAAAGGGATTGATCCTATTGGCTTTACTCAGCAGTGGGATCCTACCTATCCCACTACTGGTTCGGTGATTGCATGTGCACCTAATGTGCACACACCTAATATGTGCGCACAGCTTTCCTCACACCAGTTGAGGCTCTGCTGAGAGGATAAAGAAGAGAAATGTGCAGGGATGAGCGACAGGGCCGATCTTTCTCCTCTCAGCTGATCGTTGGAGCTTTTTTTTTTACTACCAGTTCGGCCAAACCGGTCCAAACCAGTAGCATACCGCTACTGGCTTTACTCCCTCTGTTTTCAGAAGCTTTTTCAGGGTTTCATGCTGCAATTACACACATTTATCCCGCGTGTTTGTCTTGGAGAAAATTCAATCGATGGACTGTCCCCTCCAAAAATGCTATATCTTGTAGTCCTGTATTAAAAACAACCACCACAACTTGAAACCGCTTCTCTCCTGCAGAAACACCCTTGGATTGTGAGACCTCTCTGTGGTCTTCGTGGGGCCTTTGCCGTGGCACCTGTGGAAATTTAGGAACGAAAAAGCGGACTCGGTACGTACTTCTCCAGCCGGCCAACCATGGGACCCCCTGCCCAGACCTCAGCGAAGAGACACACTGTGAACCGGATAACTGTGTCTGAGATATTATCTTTGGACAATCCTTTACCTCATGTAATTTGGGGGATATTTAAGATATCTCTCCGTTGATATTTTTTTTTATAGCTCAAGAGCAGTCTATCCATCTATCCATCCAACAGAGAGATCTACTTAGGTATCTGTGCTTTCTACACATTTATTGTGAGTTCCTACAGTGCCACCTAGTGGTCAGAAACAGTAGCAATACTAGTAGTAACTCTAATAGTAAAATGTTACCAACATCTGTATGGAGAAAAGAGGCAGGCGGGGATCTTTTCATTTCTGCTCATTCTGGCATTTATTTAATGCATCTGGGGAATAATGATCTCATTTCTACTGACTTATATAATATGCCGGAGAATTAAACGTACACAGTTTGAGGGAGAATCAACTTGAAGGAAAAAAGAAAACCAAGTTTTTCTCAAGAGTACGAGAAAAAGCAGAGAAGATTTTTTTTGGAGGGGTAATTCTAGAATTTTTAAGCTGTGGTTTGAAAGGTCTATGGTGAAAGCTCTTGGCAAGCTCTTTCTTTTATGCAGATTTCTGTGAACTTTGTCCCATTTTGTGAAGAGCCAAGAAAGCCCAAAAGGAGAACTGTAAAAACAATTTGCTGAAAAGTTTGTGTACCAAGGCATAGGATATACTTCCTCTATACTTCCAGCGTTCTATATTTCTGAATTTTTTTTTTATATCCATTATACATGCATGCCCAACCTTTCAACCTAAGGAGCATTTTTCACGATAGCTTTTTAGTAGTAAGTTAAAATATAGCACCTCCTGGTACTATGCGTGTTAATAATCTAAATCTGCAGTCTTGAGCCTATTTCCTCGGTAGTCACATCGGCCCGGCGGGAGGGAGTTCCTAATAAAATCACACATTATAAAAGTGTAGAACCAAAGCACAATTACATTCCTTCCTCCTTGATATGTATTTGAGTTCAGATGAAATGCCGCTGTGGTAATTCAGCAGAGGGCAGCACCGGGTCTCAAACTCAGGGAAACGGTTCCCAAATTGGATCCTTTCTCTTTAGAGCAAAAATCTCTGCCTGGAAAGGTAACACAAAGACTCTCTCCATTCTGAAGTTCTACAATCAAGTTTCTTATAAGCGTTGTGCGGAATGGTATCATCAGAGTTCAGAGTTTTATTATCTCTCCCTCAGTAGTCTGTTTCTCTATCATTTGTTCTCTCCAATATCTATGTATAAGTATCTATCATCTATTTAACATCTGTCTCTCATCTCCATATTTCTATTTATTTCTCTCTCATTTTTATTTCTATCTATCTATCTATCTATCTATCTATCTATCTATCTATCTATCATCTCATCTTTCATCTATCTATATCTAACCTTTCTCTTTCTCTTTCTCTATTTCTATCTAACCTTTCTCTCTATCATATCTATGTTTCTGTTTATATATCACCTGTCTATCAATCATCTATATATCTAACAATCCTCTATATATCTATCATCTATATCTATCATCTATCATTAATTATCTATCTATATCTATCTTAACCTTTCTCTCTCTCATATCTCTATTTATCTTTCTGTTTATCTATCATCAATCATATATCTACTTATTTATCTATCTATCATCATCCATATCTATCTTAACCTTTCTCTCTCTCCTATCTATCTTTCTGTTTATCTATCATCTATCATCTTACCTGTTTATCTATCATCATCTATACCTATCTTAACCTTTCTCTCACACACATCTATCTTTTTGTCTGTCTATCTATCTATCTATCTATCTATCTATCTATCTATCTATCTATCTATCCCTCTATCTATCTATCTATCTATCCATCCATCCATCCATCCATCCATCCATCCATCCATCCATCCATCCATCTATCTATCTATCTATCTATCTATCCATCCATCCATCTATCTACCTATCTATCTATCTATCTATCTATCTATCTATCTATCTATCTATCCATCTATCCATCTATCTATCTATCTATCTATCTATCTATCTATCTATCTATCTATCTATCTATCTATCATTTAACCTCATCCATCTATCATTTGTTTGCCTATCTTCTTTTTCTCCTTCTCTCTTTCTATCTCTATCAACACCACAAATGTTAGGCGCTCCCAGAGGTTTTTTTAAAAAAGGAACATAAGTCTCATGAGCAAATAAATATATCGCACATATATCCTGGGAAAGAGGAGAGCAGAGGGAGTGAGACCAACAAAGTGAAATCGAATTCTAATCATGGCTCTGGGAAAGCTTTCCCTGAATTTCTTCTTCCTTAATTCTGAAGCGTTCCTCGTCTGAATGCAGGGAAATAAATCCCTGAACAAAACACACGCCCTCACTTCCACAACACCCATTGGAAATAGGCTTGGGGCAAGAAATCAAGACTGGAAGAGGGTTTTTCAACGACTCCCCATAGAATAGTTTGGTTTCCCAGCCTCCCTTTCAAAAGGGCCATATCTAACAAAATGAAATTCAAGGTAAAGTGAAGTCCTAAACTTAGGCAAGAAAAACCAAAAGTGCACATACAGACTAGGTGAAACCAGGCTCAATAGCAGTCACTGGGAGAGGGATCTTGGAGTTTTGGACAGCCAGCGAAATCTGGGACAATCAGCTAAATAGGAGCCAGCCATGTGCAGCGGCAGCCAAAAAAGCCAATGCAATCCTAAGTTGCATTAACAGAAGGATACAATCCAGACCAAGGCAGGTACTAATACCACTGTATAAAGCCTTAGTAAGGCCACACCTAGAGTACGGCATCCACTTTTGGTCACCAGACTATAAAAAAAGATGTTGAGACTCTAGAAAAAGTGTAGAGAAGAACAACCAGGATGATGAGGGGACTGGAGGATGAAAGATATGATGAACGGTTGCAGAAACTGGGCCTGGCTAGTCTAGGGAAGAGAAGAGAAGGACCAGGGAAGACAGGAAAGCAATATTCCAATATTTGAGGGGCTGCCCCAGAGAGGGGTGGGGGGTGTAACGCTATTCTTCAAAGCCCCTGAAGGTCAGACAAGGAATAATGGATGGAAACTGAACAAGGAGAGATTCAACCTGGAAATAAGGAGGAATTTTCTGACAGGGAGAACAATCAACCCATGGAACAAGAGTTGCCCTCGGAAGTTGTGGGAGCTTCATCCCTGGAGGCTTTCAAGAAGAGACTGGACTGCCATTTGTCAGAAATGGTCTAAGGTCTCCCGCTTGGGCTCCGGGTTGGACTAGATGACCTACAAGGTCCCTTCCAACTCTGATTATCTGTTAAAAGTGGAAAGGCACTTCTAAATGTAGGTGTTTAAATCTCCTTTCGTGTCTGTGGCGTTTCCAGGAGCATCTGCGGGGCTGAAGCCAAAATTATCAAGATGGCGGCCATTACTCCCCCCCCCCCCCATGGAAACCTTACTCTTTGTTTACAACCATTGTGCAACACCCACAAAAATGGGGGCCAGAGCTTTGGCTGTAGGTCATCATCCTCATCTTTGTTTTGGCCCCCTTGAGTCTTGACTGCACACTGTTTTTGAAGATTAAAGCTGGTTACCAAGGTCTCTTATGTCCTCCTAAATGTTTTGCCTGAGAAATTGGGAGGTTGGATGAGAGATACATGGAAAGATGTGACTGAGGTTAAAAAAAAAAATCCTCAGTTAATTTAATTTTAATTAATTAAATTCAATCAATAACCCTTGCTATTTTTTCCAAGGGTAAATGTGAACCCTCTGATGGATTGCGAATTGAAAAGCTTCCGTAAATATATAAAACAAAGCAGCTAGTTGTACAAACCAGGATTAAGACATCAACGTCGCTTCAGATAAAGTTTATTCAGGGGACTAGTCCTTTCTTTCTTGGAGGGCCAGACAGAAAAAACTGGTCTGTTTTTCTCTGTCTTCTCTTCCCTTTTACAATAATTCCATATATGGCATTTATTTATTAGATGAAAGCAGAGGGGAAAGAAACGACTGGCAAATATTTAGTCTGATAGGAGCTTCTTTCAGCTTCTATTGACTCAGATCACTCCATGTCTAACAAAAGCTTTCACTACGAGGGTAACAAAAACCAGGAACTTCATTCGAAGGTTGGGCTGAATTTGTAAAACCATTTTCCTTTGTAATAAAAGAGCGTTTAGAATTACAGCTACAGGTACTTTTTGTTAAAACAAGCTGCGCCATTCTAATGTCTTCTTTGTCTACTATTGCTCTTATTTAATTCATCTCGGATCCCAAGGCAACAAAGCCCGACGGTTTGTAAATGCCTCCAAGACAAGTGACAAACATGTAAAACTTTTTCCTGGATAGTGTTGTTCTGGTCACCGCAATGCTAAAAACTATGTTGAGGCTCTGGAAAAGAGGGCAGAGAAGGGCAAGAAAGAGGATTAGGGGACTGGAGGATAAAACGTGCAAAGAACAGGTGCAGGAATTGGGTGTGTCTACTTTAATGAAAAGAAGGACCAGGGGAGACAGGATAGCAGCCTTCCAATATTTGAGGGCTGCCCCAAAGAAGAGGGAGTCAAGCTATTCTCCAAAGCCCCTGAGGGCAGGACAAGACACCATGGATGGAAAGTAATCAAGGAAAGCAGCAATCTAGAATTTCTTTGACAGTGAGAACAATTAACCAGTGGAACAGCTTGCCACCAGAAGTTGTGAATGCTCCAACACTGGGAGTTTTTAAGAAGAGGAGATTGGACAGTCACCTGTCTGAAATGATGTAAGGTCTCCTGCTTGAGCAGGGGGTTGGACTAGAAGACCTCCAAGGTCCCTTCCGACTCTGTGATTTTGTTTAATAAAAAGAAGGACGAGGAGTGACACGATTCCAATCTCCCAATATCTCAGGGGTTGCTACAAAGAAGAGGGCAGAACAAGAAGCAATGGATGGGAACTTAGCAAGGACAGAAGCCACCTAGGATTAAGGAGAAACTTCCTAACCTAAAAACTTTCCTGAGAGCAATCAACCAATGGAATCACTGGCCTTCAGAGGTTGTGGGGGCTCCATCACCGGAGTCTTTTGAGAAGAGACTGGAGAGCCACTTGTCTGAAAGGTCCCTTCCAACTCCATTGTTCTATGTTGTATGAATACTCTGAGGATTTTGCCTTTGAGTTATGGGCGACTGCCTGGAAAACTCACGGCAGTTTTCCTTGCAAGATGCCAATGGTTTGCCATTGTCTCTTTCCCAGGGATAGGAGAGAGTGGCTGGCCCAAAGTCACCCAGCTGGCTTTGAGACCTAAGGCAGAACTAGAACCCACAACCACCCACTACATTGAACTGGCTTTAGGAATAGTACACCTGGGAGACACATACTCCCTCCTCAGCATATTCATTAGGAGTTTCAAAGAGATATTGTGGTGACCCAGAAAGCAGCACACACGTAATAAATTCCCGAACATAAATAAATTTCCTTATATGCCTCCAACTTGGCCCCACTGTTCAATTGTTCTCACTTGGAGATTAAACTCTGTCCAAAATAGTCTCCCAAAGAAAGAAATACAGTCCAAACTCAAAGAACAGATAACGGAGAAATAAAAAACCAAAACCAACTGCACTGAAGGAATTTCCACAACAGACCAGGATAACTAATTACAAACTTCAAGAAGATAACAAGGCACGGTCCCTTGGAAGTACGCCAACCAAGATAAACCTTAGCTAGAAATAAAACACGCTTTGCTTCTAGCAAAGCTGTTTTAAA